AATACCTTCGGGACTTCGGCGGTCCTGCCTTCGAGGTATTCTATTAGGGCTTTAGGTTCCGGGTCGGCCCGCTGTCGTTCAGCGAAGTCGTCGGTAGTTATCGTTCCCAAGAAGTAGTCATCATCCGAGTCGTCGGGTAGCGGTTGGTCGACAGGTGCACAAGAGAGACAGTCGGCGTTGGAGTGTTTTTTGCCGGACTTGTAAATGACAGTAATGTCATATTCTTGAAGTCTCAGGCTCCATCGTGCGAGGCGACCTGAAGGGTCCTTCAGGGTGGCTAGCCAACAAAAGGCGTGGTGGTCGACTTTGAAGGGCCTGCCATAGAGGTAGGGGCGAAATTTCGACGTAGCCCAGATGATGGCGAGGCACTCCTTTTCTGTTGTGGAATAGTTTGCTTCTGCTTTGGATAGTGATCGGCTGGCGTAACTAATAACCCTTTCATGTCCGTCAGCCCTCTGCACAAGAACTGCGCCAAGACCTATGCTGCTTGCGTCAGTATGTATTTCTGTCTCGGCGGATTCGTCGAAATGTGCAAGTAACGGAGGCGTCTGGAGGCGATGTTTAAGCTCCTGGAAAGCGTGTTCCTGTGGCGTTTCTTCCTTGAACTCCGAGTCGGCCTTGGTAAGGTTAGTGAGAGGATCGGCGATGCGGGCGAAGTTTTTCACGAACCGCCTATAATAGGCGCACAGGCCCAGAAATCGGCGCACGGCCTTCTTGTCAGTGGGCGGCGGGAAGTCGGCGATGGCGGCTGTTTTCCGTGGATCGGGACGAACTCCAGACTTGCTGATAACGTGCCCCAGAAACAAGAGCTCCTCATACGCAAATCTGCACTTTTCTGGCGTCAGTGTGAGTCCGGACGTCTTGATGGCTTGAAGTACAGATTCAAGGCGCCGAATATGCTCGTCGAAACTCGAGGAAAACACGACGACGTCATCCAAGTACACAAGGCAAGTTTGCAACTTCAATCCTGCCAGTACTGTATCCATAACGCGTTGAAAAGTTGCAGGCGCTGAGCAAAGGCCGAAGGGCATCACCTTAAACTCGAAGAGGCCGTCCGGTGTTATAAACGCCGTCTTCTCTCGGTCTCTTTTGTCGACTTCGATTTGCCAATAGCCAGTCTTGAGGTCCACTGACGAGAAGTACTTGAGAAGTACTTGGCGTTATGGAGCCGATCAAGTGCGTCGTCTATTCGTGGAAGAGGATACACGTCCTTTCTTGTGATTTTGTTCAGGCGGCGATAGTCGACGCAGAAACGTAGGGTCCCATCCTTTTTCTTCACTAACACCACGGGGGATGCCCACGGACTCTTGGACGGCTGGATAATGTCATCTCGCAGCATTTTATCAACTTGTCTCTTCATTGCCTCACGTTCTCGCGTCGAAACCCTGTACGGACTCTGACGGAGTGGTCTGGCATTTTCTTCGGTTATGATTCGATGTTTCGTGATTGGGGTCTGGCGAATTTTCGTTGACGACGAAAAGCAATCTTCGTATTGCAGGAGCAGGGCCTTGAGCTGTTCTTGCTTATTGTTCGGAAGTCTGGGATTGACGTCAAAAGCTATGGGCGGGGCTTGGTTCCTCTGAGCAGGTTCCGCAGAATGGGTGAGGGCGAAAGCACTGGTGGCTTCGACAATTTCTTCAATGTATGCGACCGTTGTTCCTTTGTTCACATGTTTGTACTCATTGCTGAAATTCGTGAGCATAACTGTTGCTTTGCCTCCCCGCAGCTCTGCAATTCCTCTGCGACGCAAATATTTCGGGTGACCAACAGATGCTGACTGCCTTCAACGACGCCTTCCAAGTCAGGTGATTTAGGAGCGCCGACTGAAATAATGACGCTTGAGCGAGGCGGAATGGTGACTTGTTCTTCCAGCACATTCAAGGCATGGTGTCCTGACGGCGTGCGCGGCGGTAGTGCTTCTTCTGTGTATAACGTTATCGACCTTGTTTTTAGGTTGATGACAGCACCATGGAGGCATAAGAAGTCCATGCCAAGGATGACATCTCTCGAGCAACGCTGTAGGACTACGAAGTCTGTAGGATAAATACGGCCGTTAATGGTGACTCTCGCTGCGCAGATTCCTGCAGGCGTTACGAGATGACCTCCAGCTCTGCGGATTTCAGGGCCTTTCCAAGCTGTCCTAACTTTCTTTAACTTCGCGGCGAACGACCCACTGATGACAGAATAGTCGGCTCCAGTATCGACGAGTGCAGTCACACTGTGGCCGTCGATAAGAACGTCGAGGTCGCTAGTTCGCCGTCTCGCATTACAGTTAGGGCGTGGCGTCGGGTCACGGCTGCGTCGGCTTGTTCCGCTGCTTCCATGTTGCGTCGTCCGGCCACCTTCGGTAAGTGACCTTTTGCCTTCAGGGCTTTGCCTGGTTGGTGTTGTGTTCAAAAAGCTCCGTCGCGTCGGCGTCGTCGTCGGAGGATCTTCGGTAGTTCGTCGCACAGCAACCGCTTCTCTATCGGTTGCTGCCCTTAGTTTCCCGGATACGGGCTAAGAGACCGGCCCCGCGTTGGGTCAGAGTACTGCCGGGGGTGCGGTGACATGTGGCGGCTGGGCGACGGCGAACGGGAAGGACTTCGTGGTGTCCATTGAGTTCCTTCCAGGTAGTCGGCGATGTCACGTGGCCGATCTCCTGGCTGCGGACGCGGTGCATTGACGGCGAAGCCACGCAGTCCCATCTGTCGGTACCGGCAACGGCGGTATGTGTGCCCGGCCTCGCCGCAGTGGTAGCAGAGCGGGCGGTTGTCAGGTGCACGCCAAACGTCCGTTTTCCTCGGTGCACTGCGCTGGCCCGCTGGGGAACGGTAGGACGTCGGTTGGGGTGGTGGCGGCGGTGGCGTCTGGCGACGGAAGTGTGACGGGGCGGCGTTTTGGCGTGGACGGGGAGGAGCGTTGCGGCGCACTGCAGTGGCGTAGCTCATAGTTTCTGGCTCGGGCGGCAGTGTTTCGTGAATTCGAAGCGATTGCCGAACTTCTTCTCGCACAATGTCGGCGATCGAATCCAATTGAGGTTGCGCCGAAGGCAACAGTTTGCGCAGCTCTTCCCGCATGATCGCTCGGATCGTTTTACGCAGGTTGTCGGAGTCACTGGCTTGAGCAGCAGCGCATTCTGGAGTCAGGCGACGATTGTACTGTCTGGTGCGCATGTCCAGGGTTTTTTCGATGGTGGTCGCCTCGGATACTAATTCTTGGACGGTGTTCGGTAGATTCCTCATTAGTCCCGCGAAGAGCTCCTGTTTGACCCCTCGCATGAGGAAACGAACTTTCTTCTCCTCAGGCATGTCTGGGTCAGCGTGACGGAATAGGCGGGTCATCTCCTCTGTGAAAATTCCAACCTTTTCATTTGGTAGCTGAACCCGGGTCTCGAGTAGAGCAGCGGCCCTCTCTTTGCGAGCGACGCTTGCGAACGTTTGCAGAAATGCGCCGCAGAAGACATCCCACGTTCGGAGCGTGGACTCCCGATTCTCTAGCCAGGTCTTTGCGGTGTCTTCTAGGTAGAAGTACACACGACGGAGCTTTTCTTCGTTGTCCCAGTGGTTGAGGGCGGCCACACGGTCGTATGTTTCTATCCAGGTTTCCGGGTCTTCAAACGATGAGCCATGGAACGTTGGTGGTTCCCTGGGTTGATGAATGACGATCGCGGGCTGGGACGCTCCGGTTGTCATTGTCGCTGCAGTCGAGGTCATGGTCTTGGTCTTCCGCGCCTTGTCTTCTAGAAGGCCGTACTCCGGTGGGAGACCTTGCTGTCGGTGGCTCGTTCGCTGCTCTTGGTTGGCGTCGGTGTCTTCTCCGCGACGGGGGCTGGGTTCACGGCTTGACGGGGGCGTCCGGTACATGAACGAAGCAGCACCTCCACCAGATGTCACGAGGTCGTGACGTGGCCAAAGACAGGAAACTTCGTATTGGGATTTAACTGTTTATTTGGGCGAACCTGTGCCCAGTAAAGGGAAAGTCTAATTACAGCAGCAGTCTTGCACAGATAGCAGTCTCGGACTGATTGCGGCGAACGCAGCGTCGGCCTTCGATCAACAACTGACAAGCGGCGAAGCGCGTCGGCATTTATACCCTTGCCGTCGAATGTTCTAGCGTTATCGCTGGCGGTGGCGTAGGTTTCAGAACAATCTGTACCGTTCGCACAGTGGGCGTGATCTTACCGAAATGATCTACTACAGTCCGGAACCTTCTCGAAACCTGCAGGCGCGGTTGGCGCCGAGAATCGTGTGGTGTTTCGGAACGATAACAAAAACTTGTGAAATGAAACGTGGCAATATGATATAAGTCTGTCTGTATAATTTTGTTAGTCTGACATGTGATGTACATTGTATGATGCAGCACATACACAAGGAGCAAATTTGTATACATCTTCCCTGATATTTTCATCATTTATTTATTTTTATTATTTTATTTTTTGGCAATAATGGTGTTATGGTTGCTGGATTTTTCTTTTGTTTTCTTTCTTTGTTTTTTTTTTGCTCGCGTTCATGTAATCGTCTGTGCTATGCTGGTATCAGGATGTATCGTAAGATTGTATATATATGTTTTTATTACACCGTATTTTGTATTGTTATGTTAGCTTATGGTCTTTATTGATACACACATCTTCGTCATTGTCCCACCTGCCTTGTATAGGGTTCACTGGCCTCGTCAAGCTGTCCATAAACAGCTTTTAGCCAGTGAACCTCTCCAGAACCTGTTTCTTTCTGGGAAAATAAAATGAATTGATTTTGAATTGCTGGGGTGTAACGTCCCAAAACCACAATTTCGCTGAGATACCCCGTACTTTAGGTCTGTAGAGATTTTTACCAGCTCGAATATTTTAACAAGCACCTATATATGAGCTCATCAGACTCAAACAAAATGCGGGCACCGTGGCCGAGATTTGGTATCTTGAATGCATAAGGTATTTCCTGTATGATTGAAGGGTCAATAAGTATCTTCCAACTGGATATGACTTTTTACATACCGAATTCGATTATGGTTGGCCTGCGCAGGACTTCCGGTCGTACATGAAGGAGACAAAGAAGGCATTTTTGCTGAGCGCCAGCATTTGCGCTATTCCTGCCGTCATGCCATCCACCTATGATGTGCGAGGGCTGTCTAGGTAGGTACCTAATGCAGCATTTTTGTATTTTTCTACTAAAATCTTCTTGAGCATCTGCATGATTTCTGATGTATATAAGAGTAGTATTCATGTCAGTGACAAAATTTATTTCTAAAATGGCAGATAATGAACCTATAATGAAGTCTTTTGAGGAGAGTAATGAAGGGGTGAACTATATATATTTACTATTTTCCATCAATGATGCACGCTTATGTTGACAGTTCAGGCCCCTAGGATTGTCAGCTGCCACCCAGCAGAACATAAGTTTTCATTCCTTCAATTCTGTGTGGCTATTCATACCTTTCGCAATGATATGTGTATGCGCGGGTTCAGCTATGCAAGAAGAACACACTGCGCCGTTCGGTGGCGATTCGTTGATGACCTGTGCGACTGTTTGAATTTGTTTGCCGTGCGGGGGCGAATTGTGTATGTGGCATGCGGCGGTGATGAAGACAGCGATCTGGTGCGTGTGTGGCTCGAGAAAGGGTGGCAGTGCGAGAGCTCTGCGCGAGCATAGGAAGGTTCTGAGGCTGCTTTCTTTGCTGGGCGTCCGGTACACGAGAGAACCAGCAGGCCTACTTCCTGGTGCATCGGCGTTATCGAAGCACTCCCGCCTGTTCCACCAGGAGAGGAATACCGGGCCAGGGACCGGGCACGAGGCCGAGATAAGCCTTGCCGCTTTGTACTCACGGTCGCACTGAGGGTTCGTCCACGAGCACGTGGGGCCGAATACATCTTCGTGGAGCAGTTCCCATGGACTGAACCGCCGGGATCAACGGTCGTGAATCTACGTGACCATGTCACCCACCGAGCTACGTCATCGGATACTCGACGACTGCGACTCAGTGACATCCTCGGCTACTTAGTCGTCGACTCTAAACCGTATGAGCACCTTCTGACTCGCGCGCGAAGAGAACAAGACGCGGGCTTTTTGACTCGGTTCGTCAACTTTTTCATGTCATTCGCGTGCGTAAATACGTTATACGAGTGCTTGTTCACCTGCGTGTTGCGTCATTCTTTCTGGGGTGAATTCTGAACCCAAACATAACATCACACCTTTATAGAAGACAGCATAATACTCTTAAAAGCTCAATGCAAAAAACAAAGAAGAGGAAAAGCGCATTAACAATTCTAGGAAGAGGAGAACCACGTTGGTTCGATTTCAGGAAGAGAAGAATTAGGTTGGCTTGCTTGTTCTCCTCTTCTCAGAATACCTTTGTTTCTCGTACCGCGTAGCCTATCAGAAGTTTGGTTTCTTTGCGTCCCTGGGCATGCTGGAATTGCACTTAATGATAAAAAGTGCTTACCAGCGCAAACGACAGGGCAGGAGAGGACAGGAGAAGAGACGAGACAGGGTGCTGAACTGCCCACAATTTATTTCTTGCGAAAGTCTTCGCTTTTATACAGTTACCAGTCACAATAGTCATGCGCGAAACACCATGACAATGCATAAGTAAATCACACCGACAAGCAAAGGAACAACTTTTCTTTATCGGTGAGCGTGACAGAAGGGGTGCTAACACAACCATCTTTCAATGAGCAAATCTTTTCTGCCTCTATGATCTAGCGTGTGGTACAATTCGTGCATCTAGCAACAATGGTACACTATGAAAATATTTGCCGGCAGCCACACGTACTGCAGTGAACGGACAGCCATCCTTGTTTATAGTGAAGGGCAGGTCTGGACGGAGGAACGGACAGCTTGCACAGGTGACTCCATTTTTGAGGGGCCCTAAAAAGCACCTTCACATTAACCCGCTGTGCCACTTATAATTGTGCGCTATATTGTGCATATACGGAACCATGGTGAAAGCCTGTCTAGCTGTGACAGGTTGGACTGCATTATCAATCCTTTTGGCCTTACGTTCACGCCGCAGGCTTTCGGCAACAGAAACTTGCACGTAGTCGGGGTAACCAGCCGACGTGAGCCTTGAAGATTGCTTAACAAAGCTCTGTAATCTTGTGCACACAAGATTTTCGCAAGGCATCCACGAAGCAAGAATTTGCGATACCTCTCCTAAGTAATCTAGAATGCGCGGAACGAAATGGCAAAACAGGCTTACTTCCACGCAGTTGATGCATCCAGAAAGTGCATCCATTATTCAGGAATAGCTTAATGTCAAGGAATTTAATTTCACAATTCTCAGAAAGTTCATGAGTAAGCTCAAAATGTTTAAAATCATTTCGCATCAGGCCTAAAACTGTAAGAGCGTCATTTTTATACAAGCGTCATTTTATATCAGTGTCTCTAAATATTAAAAAATCATCTACGTATCTGAAAGCGTGCGTCACATTAGTGTTAGTGAAAACTTCCGAAATGAATCTGTCTAATTTGCCTAAAAACAGGTCACTGAAGATGGGAGCGATGCAAGAACCAATACAGATACCGGATTTTTGAAGGTGAGGTTTTCCATCCCGTAGGATGTACGTCGACTGAAGGTAAATCATAAAAGCTCTAAAAATCCACTGATGCTAGCTGGAGACTGGGCCTGAAATTTTGAGGCGCCATACTCCTCTCTATAATCTCCAATGCATTGTAAAAATAAGTAATGAAGAATAACATAGTACAGGTCCTTGACGTGTATAGAGAAGGCGAATAGAGTTTTATTTCAACGCGACGAAATGAACTCCCGAACTTCACATGAACTTTTTACTAGAAATGGATCGTTCACTTCTAGGTATTTCAAGGTTTTCTGCTGGTAGAGTACAATACATTTTGCCTGCTGTTATTTTCAGATACAATTAGCCTAGAAGGCATTTCGACCTTATGGTGCATTTCCGATGGAGGCGGAAATGTAGGCCCGTGTGCTCAGATTTAGGTGCACGTTAAGGATCCCCAGGTGTTCAAAATTTCCGGAGTCCTCCACTACGGCGTCTCTCATAATCATATGGTGGTTTTGGGACTTTAAACCCTACAAATTAATCAATATCGACCTTATGCATTTTAGCGCTAAAGAAGGCTTCAAGGAAATATTCCTTGACATCTGACATATTCCTATGGACACTTACAAGAATTAACTTGCGAAGCAGGCTCTTAGCTTTAGTTTTGACCTTTTTCATCGACACTTAGGCTTGACAGTCAAAAAGGGCCGAAACCGTGTGACAAGCTTTTTCCCGGTACTTTTTAAGGGACATTACGTCAAAGCCGCCCTCCTTGTCTGCAAGTAACACACATAATGAATGCTTCTTCATAAAATCTACAACGCGTTTTACCGGAAGAGCCAATCTCGCTTTACACCGACTTAGGACACCTACGCCGTCTGCTTTGCGGTGGTCTTACTCTTCCGGTGGAGCACGCCGAGAGACTTGTCTTACGGTAGCCAAAAGGTCATGAAGAGAACGCTAAGGCTCTACGACGAACTTCGGTACCAATTAAAGCACTTTAGAGACATGCTGGGGCAAGTCCAAGTCTTTCTGATTGTAGATCGGCTATTTCGGCGGTTGTTGTCCTGTGAGTCGACGTACATCGTCGACGTACTATTTTATTCTTCATTACTTATTTTTACAATGCATTGGAGATTATAGAGAGGAGTATGGCGCCTCAAAATTTCAGGCCCAGTCTCCAGCTAGCATCAGTGAATATTTAGAGCTTTTATGATTTACCTTCAGTCGACGTACATCCTACGGGATGGAAAACGTCACCTTCCAAAATCCAGTATCTGTATTGGTTCTTGCATCGCTCCCATCGTCAGTGACCTGTTTTTAGGCAAATTAGATCCATTTCGGAAGTCTTCACTAACACTAATGTGACGCACGTTTTCAGATACGTAGATGGTTTTTTATTGTTTATGGACACTGATGTTGCATCGTATAAGAATGACGCTCTTACAGTTTTAGACCTGATGCGAAATGGCTTAAGGATTTTGAGCTTACTCACGAACTTTCTGAGAATTGTAAACTCAGGTTCCTTGCCTTTCAGTTATTCCTGAATAATGAACGCACTTGGTGGATGTATCAACCGCGTAGAAATAAGCATGTTTTGCCATTTTATTTCGCACATTCTAAATGTTTTAGGCGAGGTATCGCAAAATCTTGCTTCATGAATGCCTTGCGAAAATGCTGTGTGCACAAGATTACAGAAAGCTTTGATAAGCAATCTTCAAGGCTTACGTCGGCTGGTTGTCCTGACCACGTGCAAGTTTCCGTTGCCGAAGTCCTGCTGCGTAAACCTAAGGCCAAAGGGATTGATAATGCAGACCCACCCTGTCACACCTAGACAGGCTTTCATCATGGTTCCGTATATGCACATGATAGCGCACAATTAAAAGAAAGTGGCAAAGCGAGTTAATGTGAAGGTTGTTTTTATGGCCCCTCAAAAATTAGGTCTCCTGTGCAAGCTGTCTTTTCCTCCGTCCAGACCCGCCCTCGGTTGCACTACAAAACATGCAAATAAATTCAGAGATTGCATCTGTAATGTGGTGTATCAGCTGCATTTATTGTGTGGAAGGTATTACGTCGATTAAACAGGTTGTTGTATAAATGAGAGGCTGAGGGAATATATTTATACGTGTATGTAACTGTCGCCACGACACAGCTGAATTGGCACCTAAAAGGAAGAAGACGACAGCGTGGTTGTTCTGGGTTAGACGCTCGAGCTTCCCTCGTTGGCCAGCATAAACTGTGCGCTCTTTAAGCCGTTAGCAAGACCAGCTCTCCGTGAATAAATCTTCCCCGTAACATCTTTTGGTGGAGGTGCCGGGTTAAGCAGTCAGCATCACTGTGCAGCTTTCCAGATTTGTAACAACCGAGATTGTGTACTCCTGTAATCGAAGTGCCCATCGGCCAAGTCTTCCTGTAGGATCATTAAGCGTTGACAGCCAGCAAAGCGCATGATGGTGCGTGATGACTGCGAATGGACGTCCGTATAAGTACGGACGGAATTTCACAATGGCCGAAACGAGGGCTAAGCATTCCCGCTCAGTGATGGAATAAGTTTTTTTTCGCTTGGAATGGAAGGCGACTAGCGTAGGCTATCACACGGTTGGTGCCATTCTGTATCT